CCTTCGTAAAACTGTATGTTCCGTCCATTTAATGTTATTTAAATTATTTTTATGGAAGAATCACCAAGTGATTTGATTATTTAAAATATAATTAGCGCGTAACGTGATTAAAATATAAAAGATATAATTTGTATCTAATCTAATCAATATTGTTAATTCATAAATTTCACACGAAACGTTCTCGAAAAATTGAAAGAGAAACCGAAGGAGGAATATTTTTTGGGAAAAATTATTTAAAATATTTCATTTTCGATAAAAAAAAAGGGGGGAATGATCGTAAAAGATATGCTAGGATATCTAAGATAAAAGAAGAAAGGATGGATAACGAAAGGACGCGGCTCGACACGGAACTGCACCCACCTCGATAAAATATGCACCACTCGATATCTATTATTACTATTACGTTCTCGTGACGGTGGTGGTGTTCGTGTCATAAAGTATGAACGAACGCAACAAGAGAAATTACTATCGCGACCCGAGGTAAGTAGTAATTTATGAGGAACAATAGGTCGTGAAAAAGAGCGGGTGCAACCGGTACGCTCGTTTACCTTCGCGCCACTAGGTCACACGGTATTCTCCTCTCTCCCGTGTCAGATCGATACCAGGAATTCTTTTCCATTACGCCACGAGATAATCGATTTTCTCTCCGATGGAAAGCGCCCGCCGGCGTGTATACCTATAAACCGCATCCCGCCAAGGAACAGAGAGAAAGCAGACAGACAGAGAGACGGATTGCGGTTCGCGACACAAGGCTGCGGCTCGATTATTGAAATTACAAAACGGGAATAGCACGATCCGCAATAACGTGGCTTTAATGAACGTCGTTTCGTGGCATGCCTCGTGAAGGCAAACTTCTGCTACCAGTCTTTGGATATAATGGAAACACCTGTACACATGGATTCTAGTTGCGATTTAAATTATCCGGCCGTTTCGTTTATCTCTGTCTGCGCTTTGATTTCGTTTTAATTATTTAGGAAATGTGAAATTGTAAAGGATGAACAATTCGAACGGGGGGAGACGAGATAAAATTTTTATACGATAGATGAATATTAAATGGGGAGAGAAAATGTATGAAGTGTATCGTGAACAGGATTTTGATATCTATAATAATAAATAATCTTTGGGCTACGGTTTCGTATTCGGAAATATTAATGAACATCCTTGCAGGTAGGTAGAAAAAATTATTGATTTCTGATCCTTTCGAGTTTTAAAATTTCCAGGGAGGAGTAATTTCAGATTTTATATAATAGAATGAAATAGAAAAAATCCTGATCCATCACTGATAAATAATAATGTGAAAAATAATTTTCAATATATCTTAACTGAAAATATTATTCTCTTAATAGTTTTAATCCAATTTATTCCAACACGATTTTTATCTATGTCGCAAAATCTTATTTCTCGAAAAAACAAATTTATCTCTAATGCTAAATATAACTTTTCCATTCGAATTTTAATTTTCGAATTTCAAGAGCGTTTCCCTGTAAATGCAGATTAAGAAAATAAAAATAGAATTTTGAAATTTTTACCCCGTTTTTGATCCCTCCTTTCCAAGTGTTAAACTTCAGAACCCATTGTTCTGTGCACGATGAAAACGTAAGCAGTGCAAAAAGAGCCGGATAAAAATTGAATGGCAATTCCATACGGACGTGCAATTTTATTTCCATTTTCAATCGAACCCGACAAGTCACGAAGGTACAAGAAAAAGAAAGAAAAGTTTCCACTCGAGAAATATAGAAACAATTGTTATCGAATCAAGTCTGATCGATTGGCTTCGGTTACGATAAATAAATGATAAGCTTAATTCGTATCGGAGAGTTTCTTCGAGCACTTCCGAACTGAAGGTAGAACAAAAGCTATATTTCTGATTTTACGATCGATTCTATCGCTGTGTATCATCTTATGTGATTGCGATTGTCACGTTAACCCTTTACACTCGAAAGACAACTATCACTTGTCGATCGAATTCGTACAGAATAAATAATTGAGAGGCAAAATTGAAAGATGTATTTGTAAGAAATATATATATTTTTTTTTACCAATTTTTTAAAAATCTTTATACAGCTGATATTTTTCAAAAATGAAACAATTATTAAAATTTTCCTCGGAATAATGTATCGTTAATTATATAACAATAATCTATCGTTGATTTAACATTTTATTTTATATATACACTACATTATACATACTACATACGTATGCATATGTAAATTTTTCGAGTGTAAAGGATTAAAATTGATACATATAGAATGCAAGAAACGAAAATACAAACAAACGAACGTGCGCAGAAATTACGATCAAAGATTGATCGTGTAAAAATATCGACGAAACGAAGGTTAATTTATATAAATTAGCTCTCCAAAAAGAACTAAAGGAATAAAAAGACGCTCAAATAAATAACTGATAAATCAACAAATATTCGACGAATATTCGACTAAATACGATGATATATATATTTCTTCTAATTAGAGATCTTTTACGAGGGTAGTTTAAGCAGTTACGTTTCCACGAATAAACAGAAGCAAAATTTGGATCAGCATAATTAACTGGATCGTAGATATTTGTATCCTTCAATATAGATATAATCGTTATGAAATTATTATTTACGGTTGAAAGACACAGATAATTAATTCAGCAGAAAATATATTGCATCGATAATGGAAATTTCGAATTTTCTATATTTCTTTTTAATATTTTAATAATGAATAGAATGATAGTAAATGTTAATAATGATCTATCACGAATGATATAAAATTTTTTATCAAATTTTTTTTCATATCAAAATAAATTATTAATATTCTCCTTATTTTACAAAAAAATTTCATATGTTTATTTATTTTCTATATATAATATGTAAAAATATAAATTTTTCATTTAATGGAATCATAGCTAATGAAAATTTGTCAAATAAAAATTGTCTTGATATTAAAATCTTCGAAATTTTAATATTTTTCCAATACTGCAATTTGGAAGTAATTTCATGTCATAATTGGAATGTTGATAAAATTATTAATTAATAATTTATTTTATTTATCTAATAATAAGATACTCACAAGATAGCGAGCAAATAGTATCCTACCGTCTTCTCATGAGCGAAAACGCGATGTATTTTCTCGCGACATGATGTTCGTGGAAAACACTATGTTGTTTACGAGGTAACGAAGGGGAACAACGACGAAAAAAAGCAATTATCGCGAAAGCGAAGCGTTATTGGTAAGTGGTTCAACAGTTTCTCACGCAGGAAAGCTGACGCAACGCGTGTTTTCTACTCGTGTGTATTGGCGAGTCGAAAAATGGCAATACGGATTATAAAAGAGAAAAGATAAGAGGGTCAAGTGTCGGTGGTGGCATACAGCAGCGAGGCAGTGACGTATAGAGTTATAACGTTATAGCAATGGCAAAATTGGGGCAGCATCGCTGAAAACGCCGCTTCATAAATTTAAAGTGCGCGCGATATTAAGCTCTCGCGCGCATTAATATGAACCCTTCGACCGAGGCTCAAGAACAACGCTAACTGGCCGGCCATAGAAAGATAAACGCACACATGCATTCTGTTCCTGACCTTGTTTTCGAATTCCTCGCAGTTCCGGATATTAAACGATAGTTGTAGAACACGAAATGATTTTGCGAATCGAATGTACTTTGGAATGTTTGCAAGATGAAAACAAGGTCAAAAGTATCTATACAAACATGGAATACGGAATGGAAAAATAAAACTTTATTCGAGTAACATAAATAAAAAATAAAAAATTTTAAATTCTAAATTTATCCCTAAAATTTTCCGAGATTTTGATGATAAAGATATATCCTGCTCCATGCGAAAGGAATAGACATAAGAATGTACATAAAATAAAAAAAATGTACATAAAATAACAAATTACTAATTTATTAAATTTCTTTGTTGTCATTTATTATCTGATACTCTGCATTGCAGTCAAAAACATACTACGAACTGTATAGCTATATTTTAGTTATATTTTAAAATTTACATATACTAAAAGGCATATAGTGTATCCACTATATATAATGTAAAGTGTTCATGTAGATATATGCTTGCAATTGTATGCCTATGTTGTAATTATTTTCAATCACGATGTTTATTTAGGCGAGATTGAATGCATAGAAAGCGAACACGCCATCGTCCTAAAGAAAATAAACAATTGCATCGATAACTTGCATTAAGGAACCGATTCTGTTACATGAAAGTAAAAGTGCCTGTATTGCGTGCTCTTCAACTACTTGTAAACCATGGTTATAAATGTGAATTTTATGAATTATTAAAGAAAATTGTCAATCAATCATATTTATCGTTAACAAGAAAGAAACAATTCATGAATTCTTCGATATTATTAAAAAATAAAATGAATTTATGCTTATTAGTTAAATAATGATTTAGAAAAATAACCTTTAAAAAACCCTTTGATCGATAAAATATAGAGAAAAATAAGATATTATTTTATTTCATTTTAACAGTTTTACGATATATTCAACTTTCGATTTTATTTGAATCGTATCCTCCTAACACAAATTAAATATATATTTATCGAATATCGAATATTTATCGAATGTTTCAAACTTGTTACTTATAACTAACTTCATTAGTTATCTTATAACTAACTTCACGAAAAATATAACCAATCAAAAACGATATTTGATCTTCATTTTATCGATACATGTCAGCCAATTAAAATTCGTTTCATTAAGGTTCATTTTACCGCGTTTTGAATTCCATTAATTTGAATAAAATATTTCGCATAAATAGCATTGCATAGATTACAAAAACGAAATTTGAAACCATATTTTATTCTCATTTATCTCTTCCAAATTATTACGCGAAAATAAGAGCATTCGATGTTTTCGAACAAAATATATTAATATGCTTATCGTAATTTCATTGGCTCCAAAACGCGACATGACATATCAACTAGCCGGTAATGATTATACGACAAAAGACGAGCTAGGAACGTTATATAGTTATAAATGAAATATAATGGACTTACCTCTTCAGCAAACTCGAAATCCCCGTCAAATTTTCGCTTACACCTCGCCTCGGTGACTAGAACTAGCAGCACCGTGGCGACGAACATCCAGGAAAATCGCATGGTTCTTGTTTCCGCGGGAGAACACCGTCCACCGTGAACTGAGATGTTGCGCAAATTCCGGTAAACACGTGCACCGTCCCGATTCGAAAACTACGAACAAAAGATCTTCACGAATGATAACAGCAAAACGATGAAAAGGCGCGCACGTCAACTTCGACACGTTTGTATTCCCGTTTTCCACAAAGCGGAAGCGTTCAGTTCGACGGTCGAACGAGTTGTGACTGCGCGAACCGAGTCGAGGCGACGCCGCACTACCACAGACGCGTAGCCGCCTATTGGTCGGATTCCGGCGAATGAAGGGGAGGGACGGTGGGGATGCAGGAGGATATCTATATAAACCGGACTACCCTTCTCTCTCTGTTCCTTTCCCATGGACTACGTGTACCTTGACGACTCTCCGGTAGCAAGATTCGCGCGAGCGCGTAGTACACTGCGCCAGTCAATACCTCCACCTGCTCTCGGTTCACCTAGCTGGTGTTGCCAGTGAGTTGACGAGAAAAAAGGGCGCGGGGAATTCGGCAGGAGGACACTAAAAAGGAATCCAGTCTCGCATCAAATACTCGCTCAGAAAGCGAACTAACCTGGCAAGTATTTTTTTTTTTTCGTACCATTCTTTTTTGTGTGCTCTTTTCGAACCCGCATCAGATTAGAAGTTTTTTGACAGATGATTTTAAGCTCGTCACAAATCTCGTTGACGCTTCATCTCGTTTTATTACAATCAATGACATTGCAGTGTGTTTCTACGAAAAGAAAAAACTTGTTAAATTTATTAAATATAGTTAAATATAGTTAAAATTAAGAAATATCATAATAAAAAAGGAATTTTGTTGTTATTTAGAAGTATAAGTATACATAACAAAAAGAATCTAAAGTATTATATAAAATAACGTGAAGTTGAAATATATATTTTTTTTTTTTGCTTTTCGATTTAGAATTAAGTTCCATGATTTAATTAAAAATGAATTTCACTATTTCTTTATTTTTTAGACTAATAATATGAAATTAGTTGTTATAAACAATTTAAAAAAGAATTTGGATTAACGATTATTAATAATTATATAAAAGGATATTTATTGAACATAAATTATTACGTATATATAATTTTTGCAAACTTATGCAAACTTATAGAAAAAATGATGAGAATAAGTTGAAATAATAGAAATACAAAATTGAATAATCAATTAGAAAACGATCATTAGAATATTCATAAATATTCTCAAGCATTCAAAAAAAAATTTTATAATGAATTTAAAATTAAATTGTTAATGTTATCAGCTTTTAAGAAAAATTAATGTTATCACGTGATTCTCAAATAATGGCACAATAGTATGTTATAGTATACTTTTAGAACTTATGTTCAAGATTTTAGTAGCATAGGATATAAGTGACAGGTACTTTCTACCATTCCTTTAAGTTTCATCCTTTCTTTGAAGGTACTTAAAGACATAAAAGCAAACCTGTATTTCGAGTGGAAAGTTGTCGTGACAATTTGTCTTACTATTTTCTTACTGCACAACTTGCACTATATCTTAACCCCCACCTTTTCCTCACTAAGCTATTTTCCTCAGAGTAGAGACATTTCCCATGGGAGTAGAAACTAGGAAGACAATGTCGCGTAGATATCTTCTTTACAAATAAAATAGATCACATCATCAAGAAAGACAAAGGGGAAAATATTATTAAATTAACGCAATCACTACTTCATATTTATTAAATATTGTCTCTTTTGCTTTGTAACTTTCTTACAATGTTATCTATTAATTGCAACTTGATAAAGCAAAATCACAAAATTAAAATATAATATATGTATGCTTGATCATTTGTTTTATGAGATATAAATGAGATTCACTATTTTTCTATCAAAATTTTAAATAATTCATAATTTTTTGATTATTACAAAAATGTTATTAAAATATATTAATAATTTAAATTTAATTATTAGCTAATTAATCATCTATTTTTAAATTTGTTTAAATATTTTAAAGTAATATAAATTTTCACAATATAATTTTCTTTACATATTTATTTTTATAATTTTATAATTATATTTTTAATTCTTATTGTATTATTTTTTAAATATAAAATTATCAAAAATGAATAATAAAAATACAGGATTTAAGATCTTTAATGAAATTATAAACTAATTTATTGTATTACATTATATCTGTAATGTAAGGAAAAGAAAAATAAATCTATTTGTTTAGAATATTCTATTTTTGGATACTGATGGAAAGCTGCATCACAACCTTATAAGAGTATATGTAATTTCTATTATATACTATTATTTATGTTCATGTACATACAGTACAGTAACAAGATAATTTGATATATAATTAAAAAATACTTAGAAAACTTTGTACATACTTTCCAATTCGATAATTATAAATATATTAAAATAAATAATAATAAGATACATAAAGTTTAGCTTTAATAATTGAATAAGTATTGCTTGTTTCGGTACTGCAAGCACATGCTATATAATTTAAATACAATCTACAACTATTGAATATAATAAAACTTATGCAGCAGTATTCCATTATGTGTCCTAAAAACAAGCAAGTGTGTGTAGACATCAAAGGATATGCATTGATATGAGAATATCCTTTTATTCTCATTTAAGATGCACGTAATGCCATTTATTGACTGAAATCAAATATAAAAATTAAGTAATTAATTAATATTAAGTTTTAAAATAATTATTAATACTATACAAAAAATGTATACAAGAATTAATAATATAGATAGAATTAATTAATAATATTTTTGGTATCTTGAACATTTATAATTTATGTTGCAATAGTTGAATGAAGTGAAATTTATTAACTGCAAATAAGTATTATTAATGCTATATATTATTTTAATTTGATTGATATAAATGAATATTTCTAACTTACCAATAGGATCTACTGATTGAGGTTCTGATAGTTCTGCAGCCTTTTCTAATACTTCTTCAGCAGTTTCTATAGTAGTTTTAAATGGACTGCCCGATATAGTTGTGTTAGTACTGTAAATAAAATTTGTATTTATAATTTAATTTTAAATACATTTTTTGAATGAAATATTTGAAGAATTTACAAACCATGCAATTCCTCCTGCAGGAGCTTCTCGTTTAATAAGATTTTGCCAATGCTGATGTACTTCTTCCACAATATGCAAAGCAAAATCTTTTGATTTTGCTTCACCGTTGAATGCAAATTGATTCTCTGGTTTACCATCTGGTATTTTATAAATCTTGAACCATTCAATAGTAGCTTTCATTAATCCTGGATAATGTTTCTCAATATCAGATACATCTATAAAATATATTATAAATTTTGAGATTATATATAATTGATAATCAAATATCATTATCAGAAATAATCCTTACCATTCATTTGTTCTGCCAAGGGATCATTGACATCAATAACAATAATCTTCCAATCAGTTTCACCTAAAATCAATAAAGATAAGATAATACAATTGAATGAGTAATTCTTAATTATTCACTCAATGTTACATACCTTCATCAATAAGTGCAACACAACCTAAAACTTTTACTTTTAAGATTTCTCCTCTTTTTGCAATCTAATAATAATATTTTATTTATTAATCTAATAATAAATATTTTATCAAATAACTAAATAATTTTTTAAAATATTCTTACCTTGTATCCTATTTCAAGAACATCAATAGGATCATTGTCTCCTTTGCATCCAGTGGCTTCATCTAAAACTTCAGGATTTTCCCATGTCTATTTATAAAAAAAATATTGCATATGAATATCTCATTTTGTAAAATATATTTTACAAAATATTTAAATACAAAAAAAATATTAATTAAAGGAATATAAATAAAATAGAGAAAAAAATTAATCACTTTACAATAAATAAAATAGTACAGATAATAATAGCCTTGAACTGAGAGCTTACATAAGCTTTGATAAGATTGTGTTCACACACTTCAGCAGAATATGTATGTATAGAAAAATGTATGTGCACGTTTGATCCATGCAATCATTCATTTTCTTCAATGAATTAGTACTAATGAAATTGATGACATCATTCTATAAATGTTAGATATCATAAAAGAGGAAGCATTTTTTGCTAATTATATTATAAATATAAATCCTTTTATGTTTAAATTCTTCGCATTGATAACAAAATCTATTGATAATAATTTTATTAAAATACCTGTGGTAATGCACCATAGTTCCATATATATCCATGATGAGGAAAACAATTAGCAACATATCTCAATTTGCCTTTTTTAACATCTTGTTTAATAGGATTTAAAGTTCTTTAAGATTAATCTCCATCTTTGCATTTGTCCATCTTGGTATCTCAACAACCATATTTAATATTTTATTATTTTCATCAGCATAAAGTGGAATGTCATGCATGGGTGAAATTGGGCCAACATCATTTCCTATAACAATTAGCTTGTTTAAAGAATTAGATAAATAATTCTTCTATAAATTAATATTTTTATAAAATATATAAAATATATAGAACATATAAAAAACTTGATAATATTTTTAAAACAAAATCATTGACAATATAAATAAAAAATAATTAAAGAAGAATAATTAAAAAATATTGGAATAATCTGAGTTGATACTGAATTGATATAATTAATTTAATGGAATTTTAATAAAAAAAATTAATTAATAAAAGCAATAAAAGATAAAGCAATAAAGATTTAAAAAAATAAAAAAACAATCTACGATTACGAACTATTTGAAAAAAAGAAGGCGAAATGAAAGCAAGCAAATATCTATTAAAAATAATTTTCAAATAAATTATTAATAATAATTAGAATATTGATTTAAATTAAATTAATATTCGTAAAAGTAGATGTAAATTACAAATATATATGAGAAATAGAAAATTTTTTATAATACTAAAAGAATTCAAATCCTTTCACCAAAACTATGTCACGTTTTAAAACTCTTATTAAAATAAAAAAATTTAAATTATAAACATATGAATATATTTTAAATACATTAATAAATATATGTATTATTAAATATATTAATGTTTTCATACATTATACATAATTTTATATAAAATATTTACAGAAAAAGCAACACTTACAAAAAAAATTTGTTTCTAATTTAGCATGCGAAAAAATTTGATTTTAATTTCTAAACTGAAAACGATGCAAAATGAAAAAAATCATGTTTAAAAACATAAGGTCATATAATAATATGTTTAGAAATTTTAATGAAGTCTCTGATGACGACATGCTAGTTCAATCGTTAAAAAACTCATGATACGGGAACATTGATTCAATTTTAAGGTTATGTTATTAGATACTTACTGAAAT